GAGGCCTGTATTAGACATGAATGGGAGAGCATTCCTATTTCTAAACTTGAGAAACTGGTCTCCTCTGTCCCCAGACGTCTGTTGAGTGTTGTAAGAAGAAGGGGGGATGCCACACAGTGGTAAAAATGGACTTGTCCCAACTTTTTTGGGATTTGTTGACGCCATGAAATTTGGAAACAACAGATTTTTCCCTTAAAATGATACATTCTCTCAGTTTCAACTTTTGATCTGTGATTTGTGTTCTATTCTGAATAAAATATTAGATGTTGGCACCTCCACATCATTGCATTCAGTTTTTATTCACAATTTGTTTAGTGTCCCAACTTTTTTGGAATCCGGTTTGTATAACGTGAGTTACTAAAAAGGCACCATAGCCAATAAATAAGGTTACATATAATACGTACACTATAAAAGCAGAACATAAACTCAGTGATACTAGATTAGCATTAATACATGTACATGTCAAAATCTCAGAAAGATCATCTTCTAGTCAACAAATCAGTGTTCAAATTCTGAGTTGTCCCTGTCAGGAAAACATGAGTCATTTTCCAGGTTTTCCTGATTTCCAAAGTTACTGGTAACGCAGTATGATGTAAACTCAGTGATGGTTTACTTCAATTAGCCAGTAAATATATTTATTATAATTTAAATACATGTTTGTACTATATGATCTGTGTATTAGATATTGAAGTAAAAGCTGATGCATCATTTCTTTGTCTCTATCAATTCAGAATAGATCAAACCTATAAACACATGTTTTAGCAACAAGCCAGGCTACTGTGAACACAAGATGGCTTCAATTTATGAACAGAATTTAGTACTTAAACTGATCAGATGCCTAGACAACTAATATTTGCTAAAATATATATATATATTTTCTATTCCTCAGAGCAATTTCTAACACTGCATTGCCACTCTGTATTTTCAGTCCCACAACAGCAAGGTGTTTTGCAGTTTTGCAAAGTGTGCACACAAAAAACAAGCTGACATCACAAAACACTAATAATAACAATGATAAAAAAATAAACAGCAATAAGGTCTGATGATGTCATCGTACGCTGAAAACCTACTGACATTATGACATTAAGTTAATTAAAAGTTGTTCCAATTAGTTTCAAATCACTTACAAGAACATCTCCCTCAGGAAGTCGTCCTCAGCGTTAAGTTCTCCGTTGGTCCCAGCAGGAACTTTGCCTTCAACTCTGGAGAGAACGTCTTCAGCAGGTGGATTGGTGACATCTAACCTCTCCACCCAAGGAAGATCTTTACGCAAGTTCCCGAGACACCGTTTCAGACCCTCCTGCATGACACACACACATATACGAGACATTTTGAAGAATTGGTGTGTTGCTGTTTAAATTTATTTAATGACACGGGTCTCCGATAAGTTTGCCTTTAAAACACTGTAATCTCAATTACTCACCACATTGAAGACGAACTGCTTCTTTTTTTCCACCAAAACGTTCATTCCAGGTTTTAACAACCCTTTACTGAAGGCTTCTTGGAGCTGTGTAAAACCATAAAAATAAACACCAGGAAATTAACTTACCGGCTTCAAACTGTTAAATTTATGGAAACTTCACGGAACCTGACATGTTCGGTAATAAGATTTTCGTTCTTCTATTTGAACTGAAAAAATGACCGTGTTAGCTTTGAAGCTAGCATCAAACTCACCTCTCCATCCGATAATTCGCTGTTTTCCTCCTCTGAGTCGAGCAGCGACTCTTCTTCTGCAGACTCCATCCTCCCGCTGAAACTAATCAGTGACCAAATATATCTGTTCTTAGTGCTCTAAACACCCGGAGAAACCAAGTGTTGATGTACAGAACCTGCTCACATGTGAAGGGATTCACATGGGGAGGAAGTGACGTGGCTAAGCGTTCGTCTAGAACAAACATTCGGTAAAAACAAAATATCAGAACAACAGTTCCTAGAGGCTAAAAAAAGAACATACTGTACTTGCAAAAAGGAAAATAAATAAAAAGAGAAACAAATTATATATATAGTGTATATGTATATACAGTGTAGTGCAGGTGTTGAACGACGTATTGTTTTTGTACTATCAGTGCTTAGTGTATTATTAGTTCAGCATAATTCTTAGTTCATATCTTATATCTTACAACTGTTTTTCTTTACAATTTATGCTTTGGTTGAACGTAACTGGGACCATGTGTACACAATTTTGTTTCATCACATGTATCATATATAGTGCAAACAACAAATAAAGTAACTTTGATGAATGTTTGTACAAGTATATATACAATGTATATATACAGTGTATATATATATAGTGCATACATACAGTATATATATA